TAGCTACGTTTGATTTAGAACTAAACAGGGAATGCAAAAGAGCTTCAAAAACGTAGCAGTTGTATTTTACTTTCCAATTTTGTTCTAAACTGTGTATATTGTCAAACCTAAAACACCCTAAACCGTAATTATTCTGCATGAAAATACCAACCTTCACGACGTCTTTTTTTCTCCTCTTCTGTATTATCAAAACAAAAAAAGAAAAACAATTTTATGTTTACTTTTACACAAGATATATTTGATTTAGAACTTAACAGGGAGTGCAAAAGATCTTCAAAAACGTAGCAGTTGTATTTTACTTTCCAATTTTGTTCTAAACTGTGTATATTGTCAAACCTAAAATACCCTAAACCTTAATTAGTCTGCATGAAAATACAAACCTTTACGACGTCTTTTTTTCTCCTCTTCTGTATTATGAAAACAAAAAAAGAAAAACAATTTTATGTTTACTTTTGTACAAGATAAATCTCATTTAGAACTTAACAGGGAAGTGCAAAAACAACCGTCTAAAATGTGTGGCTTAACATTCTATACGTAACGTACCTTCACGTAGGCTACTTATGGAAAATGCTATATAAAAAATAAGAAAAACTGTATTATGCTTACTTCTAAACATGATTGTAAATGAAACAAATTTTATCATTAGTACATTGCAAGTTATACATGCAGTTGCAAAAGACAAATAAATTAATGCCTCCTACGTTTATTAAGAGGTGGAAATGGAGAAAAACATTAAAACCCTTTTTTTTGTGGAATATACTTGGTACCTATAGTTATAGTCAAGAGACATGCAATTGAAGTAAAAAATACATTTTTAAAAAATAGAAAATAACTAATTGATTTAAAAGACATTTTTCAAAAAAATGGTTTTCAAGATAGATGTTTTTGAACAAAAGTATAGAATGGTATAAACAGGGAAAACGTCTTATCATAAATTCACAGGTTATCACATAATCAAAATTGTAAAATTTTAATACTAAGGGAGGAGTAAACATATATTTAAAATTTCATCTACATACATGAAGGTCGACACCTGAAAAGCACGAAATACATTGTAGCTATTTTAGTTGCATTTATGTAAATTCATTTGTAATGAAAATGATGTTTAATTTTGCAAAAAAGAATGTTGGTTATGTGAATGTTTTATTGAACCTTATCTTATAAAGGAAAAAAATAACTTTTTACTAATAAAACTATTCCTTACTAATACATTGTTATATTGCCGTACATGCATAACCATACAAACCTTTCAAACACAGAACAGCTTCTGCAAATAAAGAAAAACAAATATTATTTTCACATTAACACAAGAAAGGCTAAATTGACTTATCTTATTGTTAAAAAACTTATAACTGTATAGACACATAAAAACTTCATAAAATTAATTAATTTTTTCCAATTTAGTAAAAACAAAGACACATAACAACAAACATTATCAATATTAATAAATTGTATGACCCTACTATCGTCAAACTGTCCACAGGTTAACACAAACTTAAAATTGTAAAATTTTAATCACTTAGCAAAGAATAAACTTGGGTATTTGAATATTCACTGGGTAAACGAACGGATAGAGAAATATACAAAATAGAAAGTTTAATGCACCATTCGTATGTTAGTTGCGTGAATGTAAAAAAATTAACTTATCTTCAACTTAGTGATTATATTACATGTATGCACAGTGTCGAACGATACAATAACTTGTAGTTGTTTTTCCCTAGTTTAAACGTATTTAACTGTGGGACACTACTAGTGAATAAAAAACACCTTGGTTGATTTTTGAACACATGCATGCAGGCCTTGGCGTGCACTATGTGTATTTTATTGTTTACAGGAAAAGAGCCAAAGTTACAGCAAACAACATGTAACAGTGAAAAACATTAAAAGTGGAGTTATTTAAGAAGCAACGTTTCTATTCAACATTGCTTACATAGTGAATAATAATACCAAATATGATACCTAACAAAACAGCATATAACTCTACTTTGTAAAAGTAATTACTTAAAAAAGTTAACTGATACATCTTAAAATTGTAAAATTTTAATACTTAGAGACGAATAAGTTCAAATAACAGAATGTTTCCTGGGCAAACGAGAGGAGAGAGACAGTGCAAAATAGAACGTCATGTAACAATCATACTTCAGTTGCAACAACGTAAATTTAAAACATATCCTTTACTCCTAAAAAGTGCTGCGCTGATTTATGGGCAAATATCGTAAAAAACGTGCGAGATTATATAAAGATTGTTTAACACATGCAAGACAGCAATGAAAATGTGAGTAAATTGTACTTTCACATTACAAAACTGTTTTTTATTTATGCATTATCAATAAGCATTCGTCAATAGTTAATTACACGCCCATACTAACCTTTAAATCGACGAATCACATCTGCATCTGAAAAAAGACATTATTTTTCCACTTACACATTATAGGTCAAAATGACTATCTTATTGTTCATAAACTCATAACATATAACAGACGAATAACCTCTTAAAATGAATTAACTTTGGATATAGTGAACATAAACAGGCATAAACAACCATAAACAAAATTAACATAAGGATATTTCATGATTATACATAAAAACATAACAATGAAAACAATACAATTTTTAAGTTTTATAAAACAAAGCCTTGGTTGTGGTAAGGAAACTAAATACTGCTTTGAAGAGCATATTTACCATGGTAAATTACAACTATAGCCTTGGTATATGTTTTTAAAAAGAACCGTTGAATACTAACTTACACACGACAGGTTCAACAAGTAATTTATGATTATCTCATTTTCAGAAAAATTTATGACAAATTAATAGAAGAGATAATAAATACAAACATAAATTAGTCATATCGCATTCTGAGTTCTTTGACTACAATTATAAAAAATGGAGCGTAAAAATATTCATGACTATTGTGACTATATTTAGAACTGTAGACACAGATGAACTGGGATAACAGAAAACTGAATGTAGTAAAATCAATTGAAAGGAAAAGCAAGGTACAAAACAAAATTACAATGTAGCACATGAATGTACATTGTAAAAATAATTTGTCTTCAGTTAACTAAATGTTATCAATCTCCACGAAATGAACATCATTTACTGACTATTGACCAAAGAATGTTCATATTACGTTACTATTTATGACACACGAATAAATAGTGTCGTGAAGTGTCGGCAATATAATTTATCAATATAATTATACGTGAGCATTGGGGTATTTTATGTTACCTTCTGTATGCTCAACGTCGTTTTCCATTTCTGAAAATGTCGAGTTTTTAATTCTGCAAATGAACAAGCATACATTTATTTGCGTTCACAGGAGATAATGTAAACTAGGTATTACAAAGAAAATAAGCTAGTTTTTAACACATCATTAAACTTGTAACCCGTCTTTCTTCAAGATAGAATAGAAATAATGGCCTTAAAAGATGTCAAAATGAAGAGTACCATTTTAATGTTACAAAATTTAGTATACGATACATGAAAATATGTAAATTAGAAAATGTTAATCTTCGTTTGTTTTCAATAAGCCAAGCTTGTTCAAACAACTTGCCAACTTATAAGGCGAAATTTTCCTGCAATTGTATAACACCAACACAAACTTTGCCGACATTTTTAGTAAAAACTTCAAGGTTAATTAACGATAAATATGATTTTAAATGTCGTTACTATCACAGAAGTAGAATAAAAAGCGATTTGTTTTTTCATGGATTGGAAAATGATACTTTTTGAAGAACCTAGCTAGATGTTAGAGATAAAGATTAAATCAATTTAGCTCAAACAAAAGCTTTAAGACAGTGTAAAACCAGTTGAAAGCTGTGTTGCAATACAATTCTTTGCTATAACAGAGAAGATAATTAATAGGAACATAAAATATTCATATCGTATTCATATGGCATATTGATCCGACTGCGAGAGAACAAGTCATTTTAATATTCTCATCATTCTTTAATTTTCCCTTTTGTGTTTGTTCAGTATGGTGCATCGTAAATAAACCGGAAACTTTGATTACTTTTACTTTTCAAGCATTAAAGTATATGACATCGTTCGTCGATATTCTTGAATATTTGCTAAAGTTGTGGTTCACTAAAAGTTCACCAAGACTATAGGAAGACTATTTAAAACGTTTAGAAAAGACTGAGAATAATGCGCCCTCTTAATATAGTTAATGCATGCAAATATGAAGCAATGTATTAATTCTAATGCTAAAAAATCCAGGTAATTCACGATTTCCAGAAGTATCTGACATAGGATTTTTGGACATTTTCAGTTGCACGATCACTGATCTCAAAATAAGATTTTATTTCGAGATCTATCCGTATACGATCTGATAATCGAAGACAAGCAAGTAACCGTTTCTTCAATAATCTATTCATAAAAATGTTCATAAACAACTATATTTAAAGTATCAATGCAAAATGGGTTTATATGTAAATGGTAAACCACAAGTTTGAATGAGATAAATCCAAGAACAGTTTTCTCGACAACTATACTTTTCATAATACAATTTGCCTGCGTATCTATTTCCGCCACGTAGTTCATAAAATTGTCACGAACATAAGAAAATATACACACTAGAAAAGCTAAAGAATCATGAAAACTTATAACATAACCCTTTCAAGATTCTGTATTTATGAAAGTTTAGTTGTAATTAAAAACGCAGCAAAATAACCCTTCAATCCTGTGGAATTGTTATAGTCTGTATAGTTATCGCCTCACTAATTCAAGGGCAGTAATTTTTTTCCGTGATGTGTAGAAAATCTTTCCTTCTTTAAAAACATGATCATAGAACTTGTAGAGGTTAAACACACTCTTGGCGATTGAATTCAATGTTCGACGCAATGTAATTTTTATAAAGCATTCACTGAAACAATTCACTGAAAGGATTTACAAATTCAAACTAGTATTTTCGAAGAGAAGCAGTCTTTACTCGTGTAAAGAACACCTTATAAGAAAGTATAAAAAACTTACATGGATAATTCACCAATCTCCGACTAGTATTTCAACAACTTTAACTTCTCTACTGTTTTCCGTCTGATTAGAACCATTAAAATAATGTTTTGTTTTTTTCCGTCGTCATACACATATATTATTTAAAAAATGTAGGAATTTCAAAATAACAGCAGGAACATTTTTTTCTCCAAACAATGTGTATGATTTCTAGGGGGGGAGGGGGGAAATTGATTCATTTAGAAGATATTTAATTTATTTGTCATACAAGCAAGCATTTGTACATGACTTCAAATGTAAAGATAAAGTATGTTAGAGAATGATAAAAATAAATAGTCAATTATCTCAAATCATATATCAAACGTAAATTCACCTCCATAAAGTGAGCCATATATAAGTCTAAAAAAGCTTGTTAATAAAACATTCAACTTCAATTTTCATTCTCCTCATCGCTACTTTCAAACTTGATGAAAACTGGTTCGGGTGGTAGGACTTGCACACCATTTATTGGCACATGATGTTTCTTTCCAAAACCGCTGTCATTATGAGTCCACGATGAGCTACTCATCTCTTTATTAAATGAACCGACGTTTTTTCTACTTTCGTTTCCATTCCTCTCACGCGTCTCACCATTTCGTAAACGCTGTTTATAAAAAATAGAAAATGTTGTACGACTGTAGACAATATGAAGCAATGATATGCAGTTTCTTGAAACAGTAAATAGAATAGACCCATAGCAGTGCAAGGATAAACAAACAAAAATCAAATACATTTACTTTATTTTACACATAAATACCTCTAAAGTTTCTTCATTATGTTTTTCTTGATCTGATTGACTTCTGTCTTCAACAACAACCTCCCTGTTTTCTTTAACGTTTCTTTCAAGTTTGTTTTTAAATGTTTTATAACTACCACGGGAATATCCATCCGTAGAGATATCTGATTGGCTGTCGCTTGGCCGTGGAGGAGTGGGTAAGAATTCAGAAACTCACTGCCACTGACAATGGACATGATTTCTGGGTCATGTGATTTCTCTTCCCACTTTTTGTCGGAATAAATTGTTAGAAAATTTTGATCCTTAATTTGGTCTTGAAGGACAGGCGATGATTTATAATCTACTTCTGACGAATCTGAATGTGAGCTGAGTTGCAATCGACCAGAAGTTTTGTAATAAGTCGAGGTTTTAGCATTTTTAGCATTGGATAGTTTTGGACGGTTTTCAACAATGTATCTTTAACTATTACTAGAACCATGACTTTTATCTTCACAAACTTTTATTTCGTGATTCAAGTAATCTCGTGTACGAGTTGAACCTTGATATTTGGCTTTTCTTCTAGGTGGTAAGTAATAAGAGTGAACATCTTCATAATTTTCATGTCTTGGCGGCGAATTTCGAAGGTTTATTGTCCAGGCAGATGGTAAAGGTTTTCGTTTGTGAGTCGTCGAAGATTTAAAAAATTTTTAGTAGTTCAGTCTGTAGTGGTTTCTTGGCAATGATTTCCTTTGTCTACAAAGACCAATGGTAATTTTAGAAACTTTAAAAACAAAAGGAAAAGACAACAGGGATGTATTGTTATCGCTAATTGGAGGGCTCTTATTCATATATTCATGATATGCTGAATTAATATCTTTTGAAATGTATAGTTATCTACGGATTTATAACATGCATATATGAACAAAAGCCCCCCCCCCCAATTAACGATAGCAATACATCCCTGAAAGACAACGTGTGTGTTTGATAAAATTAAGCATAGTAAGCCATTGAAGGTGAATAAATAACAGAGTAGGATTACGTGTGCAGTTGAATTCAATTCAGTGACTTGTACTGCAACCAAGCTGTAATAGTATAACTGCTCTGTGGTAGTACAACTGATCTGTAATAGTTTAAGTGCCCTGTGGTAGTACAACTCACCTGTAATAGTATATAACTGCCCTGTGGTAGGTAGTACAACTGACCTGTAATAGTACAACTGCTCTGTGGTAGTACAACTGATCTGTAATAGTTTAAGTGCCCTGTGGTAGTACAACTGACCTGTAATAGTATAACTGCCCTGTGGTAGGTAGTACAACTGACCTGTAATAGTATAACTGCTCTGTGGTAGTACAACTGATCTGTAATAGTTTAAGTGCCCTGTGGTAGTACAACTGACCTGTAATAGTATAACTGCCCTGTGGTAGGTAGTACAACTGACCTGTAATAGTATAACTGCTCGGTGGTAGTACAACTGATCTGTAATAGTTTAAGTGCCCTGTGGTAGTACAACTGACCTGTAATAGTATAACTGCCCTGTGGTAGGTAGTACAACTGACCTGTAATAGTATAACTGCTCTGTGGTAGTACAACTGATCTGTAATAGTTTAAGTGCCCTGTGGTAGTACAACTGACCTGTAATAGTATAACTGCCCTGTGGTAGGTAGTACAACTGACCTGTAATAGTATAACTGCTCGGTGGTAGTACAACTGATCTGTAATAGTTTAAGTGCCCTGTGGTAGTACAACTGACCTGTAATAGTATAACTGCCCTGTGGTAGGTAGTACAACTGACCTGTAATAGTATAACTGCTCGGTGGTAGTACAACTGATCTGTAATAGTTTAACTGCCCTGTGGTAGGTAGTACAACTGACCTGTAATAGTATAACTGCCCTGTGGTAGGTAGTACAACTGACCTGTAATAGTATAACTGCTCTGTGGTAGTACAACTGATCTGTAATAGTTTAAGTGCCCTGTGGTAGTACAACTGACCTGTAATAGTATAACTGCCCTGTGGTAGGTAGTACAACTGACCTGTAATAGTATAACTGCTCTGTGGTAGTACAACTGATCTGTAATAGTTTAACTGCCCTGTGGTAGTACAACTGACCTGTAATAGTATAACTGCCCTGTGGTAGGTAGTACAACTGACCTGTAATAGTATAACTGCTCTACGGTAGTACAACTGATCTGTAATAGTATAACTGCCCTGTGGTAAGTAGTACAACTGACCTGTAATAGTATAACTGCTCTACGGTAGTACAACTGACCTGTAATAGTATAACTGCCCTGTGGTAGGTAGTACAACTGACCTGTAATAGTATAACTGCTCTGTGGTAGTACAACTGATCTGTAATAGTTTAACTGCCCTGTGGTAGTACAACTGACCTGTAATAGTATAACTGCCCTGTGGTAGGTAGTACAACTGACCTGTAATAGTATAACTGCCCTGTGGTAGGTAGTACAACTGACCTGTAATAGTATAACTGCTCTACGGTAGTACAACTGATCTGTAATAGTTTAAGTGCCCTGTGGTAGTACAACTGACCTGTAATAGTATAACTGCCCTGTGGTAGGTAGTACAACTGACCTGTAATAGTATAACTGCTCTGTGGTAGTACAACTGATCTGTAATAGTTTAAGTGCCCTGTGGTAGTACAACTGACCTGTAATAGTATAACTGCCCTGTGGTAGGTAGTACAACTGACCTGTAATAGTATAACTGCCCTGTGGTAGGTAGTACAACTGACCTGTAATAGTATAACTGCCCTGTGGTAGGTAGTACAACTGACCTGTAATAGTATAACTGCCCTGTGGTAGGTAGTACAACTGACCTGTAATAGTATAACTGCCCTGTGGTAGGTAGTACAACTGACCTGTAATAGTATAACTGCCCTGTGGTAGGTAGTACAACTGACCTGTAATAGTATAACTGCTCTACGGTAGTACAACTGATCTGTAATAGTATAACTGCCCTGTGGTAGGTAGTACAACTGACCTGTAATAGTATAACTGCTCTACGGTAGTACAACTGACCTGTAATAGTATAACTGCCTGTGGTAGGTAGTACAACTGACCTGTAATAGTATAACTGCTCTACGGTAGTACAACTGATCTGTAAAGTATAACTGCCCTGTGGTAGGTAGTACAACTGACCTGTAATAGTATAACTGCTCTGTGGTAGTACAACTGATCTGTAATAGTTTAAGTGCCCTGTGGTAGTACAACTGACCTGTAATAGTATAACTGCCCTGTGGTAGGTAGTACAACTGACCTGTAATAGTATAACTGCTCTGTGGTAGTACAACTGATCTGTAATAGTTTAAGTGCCCTGTGGTAGTACAACTGACCTGTAATAGTATAACTGCCCTGTGGTAGGTAGTACAACTGACCTGTAATAGTATAACTGCTCTACGGTAGTACAACTGATCTGTAATAGTATAACTGCCCTGTGGTAGGTAGTACAACTGACCTGTAATAGTATAACTGCTCTACGGTAGTACAACTGACCTGTAATAGTATAACTGCCCTGTGGTAGGTAGTACAACTGACCTGTAATAGTATAACTGCTCTACGGTAGTACAACTGATCTGTAATAGTATAACTGCCCTGTGGTAGGTAGTACAACTGACCTGTAATAGTATAACTGCTCTACGGTAGTACAACTGACCTGTAATAGTATAACTGCCCTGTGGTAGGTAGTACAACTGACCTGTAATAGTATAACTGCTCTACGGTAGTACAACTGATCTGTAATAGTTTAAATGCCCTGTGGTAGTACAACTGACCTGTAATAGTATAACTGCCCTGTGGTAGGTAGTACAACTGACCTGTAATAGTATAACTGCCCTGTGGTAGGTAGTACAACTGACCTGTAATAGTATAACTGCTCTACGGTAGTACAACTGATCTGTAATAGTTTAAGTGCCCTGTGGTAGTACAACTGACCTGTAATAGTATAACTGCCCTGTGGTAGGTAGTACAACTGACCTGTAATAGTATAACTGCTCTGTGGTAGTACAACTGATCTGTAATAGTTTAAGTGCCCTGTGGTAGTACAACTGACCTGTAATAGTATAACTGCCCTGTGGTAGGTAGTACAACTGACCTGTAATAGTATAACTGCTCTGTGGTAGTACAACTGACCTGTAATAGTATAACTGCCCTGTGGTAGGTATTACAACTGACTTGTAATAGTATAACTGCTCTACGGTAGTACAACTGATCTGTAATAGTTTAAGTGCCCTGTGGTAGTACAACTGACCTGTAATAGTATAACTGCCCTGTGGTAGGTAGTACAACTGACCTGTAATAGTATAACTGCCCTGTGGTAGGTAGTACAACTGACCTGTAATAGTATAACTGCCCTGTGGTAGGTAGTACAACTGACCTGTAATAGTATAACTGCTCTACGGTAGTACAACTGATCTGTAATAGTTTAAGTGCCCTGTGGTAGTACAACTGACCTGTAATAGTATAACTGCCCTGTGGTAGGTAGTACAACTGACCTGTAATAGTATAACTGCCCTGTGGTAGGTAGTACAACTGACCTGTAATAGTATAACTGCTCTGTGGTAGTACAACTGATCTGTAATAGTTTAAGTGCCCTGTGGTAGTACAACTGACCTGTAATAGTATAACTGCCCTGTGGTAGGTAGTACAACTGACCTGTAATAGTATAACTGCTCTGTGGTAGTACAACTGACCTGTAATAGTATAACTGCCCTGTGGTAGGTATTACAACTGACTTGTAATAGTATAACTGCTCTACGGTAGTACAACTGATCTGTAATAGTTTAAGTGCCCTGTGGTAGTACAACTGACCTGTAATAGTATAACTGCCCTGTGGTAGGTAGTACAACTGACCTGTAATAGTATAACTGCCCTGTGGTAGGTAGTACAACTGACCTGTAATAGTATAACTGCCCTGTGGTAGGTAGTACAACTGACCTGTAATAGTATAACTGCTCTACGGTAGTACAACTGATCTGTAATAGTTTAAGTGCCCTGTGGTAGTACAACTGACCTGTAATAGTATAACTGCCATGTGGTAGGTAGTACAACTGACCTGTAATAGTATAACTGCTCTGTGGTAGTACAACTGATCTGTAATAGTTTAAGTGCCCTGTGGTAGTACAACTGACCTGTAATAGTATAACTGCCCTGTGGTAGGTAGTACAACTGACCTGTAATAGTATAACTGCTCTGTGGTAGTACAACTGACCTGTAATAGTATAACTGCCCTGTGGTAGGTATTACAACTGACTTGTAATAGTATAACTGCTCTACGGTAGTACAACTGATCTGTAATAGTTTAAGTGCCCTGTGGTAGTACAACTGACCTGTAATAGTATAACTGCCCTGTGGTAGGTAGTACAACTGACCTGTAATAGTATAACTGCCCTGTGGTAGGTAGTACAACTGACCTGTAATAGTAT